CCTGCTTCTCTTCGGCTGCCGCAACCGCGCGCACGACTTCATATACGAGGCCGAGCTGCGCGGGTTTGAGGAGTCGGGCGCCCTGGGGTCGCTGCACGTCGCGTTCTTGCGGGAGGGCAGCACCAAGGACTACGTGCAGCACCACCTCGCGCGCGAGGGCGCGCGGGTGTGGGAGCTGCTGCGCAAGCCGGGGGCCTGCTTCTACGTGTGCGGGGACGCCAAGGCCATGGCCAAGGATGTGCACCGCGCGCTGATCGAGGTGGTGTCGAGGCACGGGGCCATGAGCGGCACCAAGGGGGAGATGTGGGTCAAGGAGTTCACGGACAGCGGCCGCTACATGCGCGACGTGTGGTAGCGCACGCCAGCCCAATTGGGATTGGGCTTGCCGCGGGGCGCCCCCGCCGCGCTCCGCGGGCGGTGCGTGTGACGGCGCGCGGCGGATGTGCAGTTGGGGCGCGCGGCGCGTCGTGTGTGCGCCTGCAAGCTTTGTCGCCCTGTGGGCAGGAATTTCTTTTCCTTTGGGCTGGGCTCTGACCGGGGTTGCGCATGCGTTGACGATGTTCATAACCAGTAGATGCCGCCTGCTCACGTCGCGTAGTCAGTCGCTACTTTCATGTCTTGGAGCTCACGCCGCTGGGCTCGCCGGCTGCATGTGACTTGGGATCCTGGCTGTTGGGAGCCCTGCGCCACCGAGACTGCCCGGGGGCGGAGGGTGCTTGTTGTGCGCCGCACGCCCCCTAAAAGGGCGGGCGCAAGCTGGTCGCGATGTCACTGGTCCCAGGCCACCCTCGCCGGGCGGTGCCTGCTCAGCCCAAACTCCAGGGCGGGAAGCTGAATGGGGGTGGACGAGCGCGTCTTGCGCTGCATCGCCCTGCGCAGGCGCAACTGCGTCATGCTCCACATCAGTTTGCTCTTCATGACTCAATATCGAGATTCGGATGTCGCATGCTCGCATTTCCGCTTGCTCCCCCCCCCCCTGCGGCTGTGTTCTGCACAGGGAAGGATTATGCACGTGCTGTTTACAGTGCTACCGTATGACTTCTTTCAGCTTGGTAATGGTCAGGTTGTGAATCCACGGTGAACGGACGGGGCCATACAACAGGGTTCCAATGCTCAGCATTTCGGTTGCTGGGCGGTGGCCAGCCAATCCAGCACAAACAGCGTGACTCATGATCTGAGCATTCTGCACCGTCGCGGATGTGATTATATTCCATGATTTTATGCGCCTGACATCTGCTTCCATAACACTGGCCAGGAGACATTGTGCTGCTTCCCGCCACCACCGCGTGGGCACAGCACACAGTCACTTTTCGACTTTAGCGCGCTCGTGAGCTGCCCGTAGGCCACACCCTGTAAGCTCTGCGGTTGCGTTTCCAGAGGATTGGGCTCTAGTAATGCAATACGCTTGAGAGGGAGCGATCAAACGCAGCGTGCGAGGGTAAAGCCAACACGATCTGAGAAGAGGACCGCCCTTCAGCTTGCGCCAGCGTCGACGAAATTACCTATATTCTTGCAGCCGCGTCTGGCGCATCGCGCTCAGCTGCCTGCATCGGACCGCCCCAAAACGTCGACGCCTCCGTGCGGTGGGCGCGCCCAGCGCCAGCGCAACACGCAGCATGAGTTCTGGCGCAGCGCGCCAGCGCAAGCGCAGCCACCCTGTTGCCCGAATCAAGGGCGGATGGTCGGCCGCGGAGGACACCGAACTCGTCAGGCGCGTCACTTTGGCAGCTGGCAACCGCCGGAGGCCAGGGCTGCCTTACCAGTTGCCGAGTGGCGACCTCGCACCCTGCAACGCCGGCGTCGCACCTGCCTGCCTTGGACTGTTGGGCCCACCAACACGCATGCACACGCGCCGCGCCACTAATGCCATGCGCTGCCTGCCCCAGCGTACTTTGTCATTCACGCACTCTGTGACGCGCGGCTCCCTTAAGCGCCCACCCACCCAGCACAACCCTGGCAGCAGAATCTTCTTTCAACCTCACCCATTTCCTCCCTGCCGCCCCTGATGAGCCACGCTTGACACCTCACAACCCGCCAGGCTTGTACGAGAGCTCGGGGAGGGCAACTGGTCGATGATTGCGCGCGCATTGAACGAGTCTTTTGACCGCCGCGGGCCCTCTGAGAACGGGCGCATCGGCAAGCAGTGCCGCGAGGTGCGCCCAGGGACGGCGGGAGCTGCGGGCGGCTGGGCGCATGGATGCTGCTGCGCGGCTCCCTCGCGTGCGCCCGGATCGCCCTCGGACAGCGAGAGCGGCGTGAGGCCGCCGGCGGTGGCCAGGCGGCTCATACCCTCTCCGACACCGCTCTGCCTGTCATACGCCTGGGGGCTGACGAAACCACTGTTTCACCCGCGCCGCGGCCCGTGCCCGCTCCCCCTGTCGCACCCCCAGCGCTGGAACCACCACCTGCGCCCGGACATCAAGAAAGACGCCTGGACCGAGGAGGAGGAAGTGAAGCTGGTGGGCAGCTGCCAGCCCCTCCCAGCCCTGCAGCACCGGCGGACGCTCGCCCCTGCAAACCCTAGTTGCCTTGCGTCTGCCCGTGCATGCAGGGTCTCTGTGCTTCACAATCTCCATTTTTCAGCGGCGCACTGCCCTCCGTTGGCGCCCCGGGCCGTGCCCACCTGCGCCACCCACGTCCGCCCCCAAAGGTGCAAGCCCACCGGGCTTTGGGCAACCGCTGGAGCGACATTGCGCGCAACCTGCCCGGCCGTACAGAGAATGCCGTCAAGGTGCGCGGGGTGGCCCGCGCCACAGCGCCGCGACACCCTGCGAGGTCTGCCCGCTCCACGCGCAGTGCACGGACAGTCGCTGGGTTGCGCTCCTGCCTTGCCGACCCCCCTTGCTGCATGCCTTGTCTGCCCGCCCTTGCTTTACACCACCTCCCTCCTTCGTCGCAGAATTTGTGGAATGCAACCCTCAGGCGCAAGGACTCGGGCCCGCAAGGTGGGGCATGAGGGACCCCCCGGGCAGAGCCGCAATGCACCGCTCGTCTGTGGCAGGCGGCCGGAACGCCGCGCCGTCCCCCCCCCCCCCCAATGCACCAATGGGCCCCTGCGCGGCCCGTCTCAATCGCCGACTCCGCCTCCTGCGCGCTCGTGGGCTTGCCGTTACTCTTGCTGGTCGCCCTCTTGCAACCCTGTCGACCGAATTGCTACGGCGCAGGCTCTGGGCCCCAAGTCCTGCGGCTGTACATGGTGCAGCTGGGACTCCTGGGGCCCGCCGCCAAGGCCGCGGCTGGCCGCAGCGGCAGCGGCGGCGGCGGCCCGAGGAAACGTGCACGGGCGCAGCCAGCGCCACGCGCGGTGTCTGGCGGCGGCGGCGGCGACGACAGCGGCGGCGGCGGCGGCTTGGTGGTTGAGTCTGAGTGCCGGGAGCACGATCCCCTTTGGCTGCCAGGCTCTGGTGGGATGCCGCTGGCCGCGGCCGTCCCGACAGGGGCACATGCTGGGGCAGGGGCAGATGTGGGTGCGCCACAGCCCTCGGGCGCAGGGCCAGCGCACGCCCTGCGCCGCACGGCGCACGCCGTGGCGCGGAGGCGCGTGCGGGCCGCGCTGTACGCGGGTGACACGAGCGATGACAGCGACTGCGGCGGCGGCGGCTGCAGCGACAGCGACAGCAGCTGCTCCGAGGCAGGCGGCGAGCACCACCCACACCTGCAGCGTCATCTACACCAGCAACAGCAGCAGCAGCAGCAGCAGCAGCAGCAGCAGCAGCAGCAGCAGCAGCAGCACACAGCCTCGCACAGCAGCTGCGACGAAGAACTTGTAAACTGGTTGAGGGGAGATGTGGACGGTGAGATTCCCAAGCGGCGGCGCCTCGCCTCGCCCGCCGCGCCGGCTCTCGTGCCGAAGCCCGTGGTGGCGCCCGCGGCGGCGGCGGCGGTCTGCGTGGAGCAGGCTGCCTCCTGTTGGGAGCCGGCCAGCCCACTTGTTCCCGAGGGGGCGGGCTCCGCGGCAGCCTATGGGGCCGTGCCGCCGACGGATGCGGAGGCGGAGGCGGAGGCGGCGGCGGTGGCAATGTCGTGTGCAGACGGCGAGCTCTTGGGAGACGCCCTGGTGATGCTGGACGAAGACGTGAGCGCCGGCCCGCATGCTTCCGCGGTTCTCTGCGCGCGGGCGTGCCCTCGCTCGTTCGCCCGAATGCGCGCATGCCGGCTCAAGGGGTCGACGCAGCGCCTCAGTCGCCGGTCACAGTGCCGCATCTGCCTGCGCTCTCGCACCCATGTTCCCTCATCGCCACACCTCTGACCTCACCGTCCCCCTCGCATCACGGCGGAAGGCCGAGCTGCTGCTTTCGATCGGCGATCTGGACGCCGCCGCCCCCGACTGCGAGCCGCCGCCGCCTGCCTCGCCGCCGCCCGCGGGCGCCCAGCTGGAGCTGCGCCCCGCCTCCCCGCTCGTGCCGGCCGCGTGCGCCGCGCGGCCCGGCGAGCGGCCGGACGCCGCAGACGCCTGGGGCGCCGCGTCGTGCCGCACCCCGGACCGCCCGCCCGCCGCCGCCGGCGCCCTGGGCAGCCGCGCGGGGCCGCGGCGGCTGCGCGAGGCGTCGCCCCACAGCCACTCGTTCAACGACTCGACCTGCCTCGCGCCGCTGATGCTCGGCCCCGAGCTGTGCGGCGTGGCCGGCGGCGCGGCCGCGCCGCCGGCGCCGCCGCTGGCGTGCGACCAGGGCCTGACCAGCAGTGCGACCGGCCACGCATATGCTCCGCTGGAAGCGCTGGTGCCGGCCTGCGGCAGCTGCAACAGCCTGTCTTCGATGGCCGCCGCCCCCGACGCCGGGGCCAGCGCGGCGCCGCCCGGCTGCGCGCCGTGGTGGGCGCAGCTGCCGGCGGTTGGGCCGCCGGGGCAAGAGGTCATCGTGGCGCTGTGTGAGGGCGCCGCCGCGCTGCCGGCCTGGGGTGCGATATGCTCCGCGCTGCAGGCGCCCACGGCCGGCTGCCCGGCGGGCGCGCACAGGGCGCACCGCCAGGTGTCAGCCTTCACCAGCAACGGTCCCCAAGCCGTCTGCGGCCGCGCCGTCGCGGGGACGCTGCTGGTTGGCGGCGGCACGCCCGCGGGGTGGGCGGATCTGACGCCAATGCCGTGGCCCGACGCCGCCGCACGGGCGCTGGCGGCAGACCTGCAGACCCTTCTGCCAGGCCTCGTCGCCGCCGCGCGCGCGCGCGCCGCGCCGCCGGGCGCGGTCGGCCGAGTGGTGGTCGGCCTGCGGCTGGGCGCCGGCGTGCCGCCCTCGGAGCCGGGGCTCGTGGTGGCGGTCGCGGCGCGCAGCAGTGACGAGGGCGCGGCGGCGCTGAAATGCGTGGTGGACGCGATCGGCGCGCTCTACGCATGACACGGCCGCCAGCCCCCCGCCGGGAAGCTCCTCAACGCACTTCTTTGGCACCAAGACAGGCAGGCTCGAGCGCATCGAGATTGCACGGGAACACGCAGCGCAGGCAGCTGGGGCTGCGGGTCGCCCCGGCATTCATATTCCAGGGCTCCGATACTCCGAGCCGCGGCACCAACGCACGCTCGTGACCGCCGCGTCGCGCCGCGCAGACGCCGCCGCATAGGGGCGCAGCACGGCGCGCGCAGTGGTCGTGTATGTATGTACAACCTCCGGCGCTGGCGCCGCGCGCGCTTGGGTGCGGGGCGGCGCGCCGCGCCCCACCCCGGTCTCGGCTCGATCCGTCGGTGATTCAGATTTGGCATTGCAACCCGCGCGCACCTGTTCCGTGGCCTAATTCGGCCCGGACGGCTCCCGCGCGGGGCGCCCTCGGGCCTGCATGAGATGGCGCAGTCCGATCGGCACGGCTAAGGCCAGGGTGTCGGGGCGGGCAGCAATTGTCCGCCGCAGCCCCCGTACTGCCTGCGGCCCGGGAAGAAACCGCATTTGCCTGCCGGCCGCTTGTCGTACTACTTTGCAGGGTGCATGGGTTTGGCCGCTGCTGCCTGTTGACTTCTGCGCGCCCGCGCCAAGCGCCAAGCGCTTGGCGGCAGCCGACAGGGCTGCAGGCGCCGAGGGCGTGCGAGACCATCGGTCAAGACATGCTTTCCTCAAGGGTGGCCCGCGCCCGCACCTGCGGTTGGGCGACGCACTGTAGCCCCTGTCGCCGCCGCGAGCGGCGGCTGTCGCGTTCACGGCCCTGCTTCGACTGGCGTCGCGGCGCCCCTCGCCCTCGCTGCGCCTCGCCGCGCGCTTAGCCTGGTTGGGTTTGGTTCCAGGGTGGTTGCCCGTCCAAGCGTTCGACCTTGGGCACCGCTCTGCATGGAGGGGGGGCACACTCGCCGCGCCGCTCGCGCGTCTGTGGTGCTAAAGCCCGGCCGACTGCACCCCCTCTGCCTCGGCTGCGCCTCATGTCTCTCTCTTGTGCAGCGCCGCAGCGAGGCGCCTTGCGGCGGCCCACGAACAACGCGCGTGTGCGCGTCACACCTTGAGTCACCTGCCGAAGGGCCCCAGCCGCGAGGCCCGACGCCCAGCAAGACGGATTTGTGCCCGGGAGGCCCCTTGGCCCCGCTGGGCGATGCATGGATGCGCTCAGCCACGCGGAATGCTCGACGCCTCTCGTCGCCCCTCCCCCTCCATCCGTCCCTCACACGCTTCCCCCTCTTTGTCCCGGAGGGTCCCCCTTCCCACACTGCCTCTTTTTGAACCGATGTACGCTTCTATGATATAATCTGCTTGCTGCTGCTCCTGCTGGTCCCACACCATCACTTGGGCATAGCTTTTCGCCGCCCCTGCCTCAGCCGCCCCTGCGGGCGGCCGCGGATGCACGGCCGCGCGCCCCTCAGCACGGGGCGTCCCCTCAAATCTCTGTGGCGGCGCGACCGCGGAGCCGCGCCCCGCTTGAGCCCGCGAACGCCCGCGGCTTCCGCTGCCAACGCCCACGTTTCAATGCTTGGGGGACCGGTCCAGGCGTGCGCGCCAAGGTGGCTACTAACAGAAAGCCACCCTGCCTGGGACTGAGCCGCCTTAGAAACCTCATGGCCGGATCGAGCGGTTGGTGCCAGCCATGCGAATGCCACCGCCGGGCGGCCAACACTGTTTTTCAGAAGAGCCGTCGGGTCGCGCCTCGTCGGGCCAGGAGCTGCCGGGCAGGGGCTGCACGGCCGTTGCTTGATCGATTTGAACTTGGCGCACGCGCGGCGGTGCCGTTTCACGTCCAGTCTTGAAACGAGGACTTGCCGGTGCTCCCGCCGCCTAGCCATCTTGCCAGCCACCATCCTGCATCGTGTAGCCGCACCGCATGCCGCAGCGGCCCGGCACGCGCTCAGCTGGGGCCAGCGGCAGCCGCTGGGCAGCTGCGATTCTCCTGCGTTGATTTCCCTGGTAGTGTGCCTTAGATCGCCTCAATCATGAGGATCCCCAGCAGTTGATAGCCCCAGGTGTTCGCCCGCTTGCCAGCCTCCTTGTCTGCCGGCGCATATATCGCCGCACCCCGCGCTTCCGCGCCGCTTGTTGATACAACATCGCGCTCCATCACGGCGGGCACTGCTCCCGCCTTGCATACATGCCTGCCTCGGCGCCCGCGACTGGCGGGCGACGGCGGTGGCCCCTGGCCCCGCTCGTCCCTGTGTGGCCTCGCGCCACCCCAAACCTTGGCATCCACCCTCACCGCTGGCTGTGCCCTGTACATACTGGGTAACCCTGCATCAACTGTCAGCTACGCGCGCAGCCTGCATCGACGTATGCACAAATCGTGTTTTTGTGTGTAATCTACCAAGGGGACCTCCTGTGTGGAAATACCAGGCAGAGAGCCGCACCCAGCATGCGTGGATGGCAAGGGTATTGTTTACTGGTATCAGCTTGGTCACAGATGGTCGAGAATTTGACCAGTCAGAGTGATCAACAAAGCAGCAAACCGACGGATGCGTTAGGGCACAAGTTGCGCCACACTGCGCTACATTCCACACAACACGTCGACCTTGCAAGACGAGGCATCCAAAATGCAAGACAGCCACGCAGCAAAGCAGAGTGCGGCTGGTGCAGTGGGCGCTGCCTGAAGCAAGAAAGCGGCCTGTTGCGCCACCGCAGCACACGCGCGCCCCTATTCTCGTCACGCCTCCAGCTCACGCGCCGCCACATCCGCCTCCAGGACCGCCGCCGAGTGGTTTCGGCCGCAGGACACCCGCAGCGCGCGCCACAGGCCGCCGCCGGGCCCGGCTGTCTGCCTGAGATCCCGAAAGCCGCCCCGGGGGCCAACCAGTATCCGGAAAACCTGCGTTGGGACGTCTCTGTCCCTATCATCCCCGTGCCCCAGCTGCCCCGCCCCCAGGTCATCCGCGGGCGA